GCATGGTGGCTCGCACCTGTAATCCCACCACTTTGGGAGGCCAGAGCAGACAGATCACTTAAGGTCAAGAGTTCAAGACTAGCCTAGCCTACATGGAGAAATCTTGTTTCTACTAAACATAAAAAATACAAAAATTAGCTGGGCGTGGTGGCATGTGCCTATAATCCTACCTACTAGGGAGGCTGAGGCATGAGAATCACTTGAAACTAGAAGGTGGAGGTTGCAGTGAGCCACTGCACTCCAACCTGGGCAAAAGACCAAGACTCCATCTCAAAAAATAAAATAATCTATGACATTGAGATATGTCTTTTAATCAGTGGCTTGTTATGATCACTATGCAGCAATACCAAATGCAGATTTTATTACTTGTACATGTACCAACTTGGTCCTAGCTGCTTATATTGCCAAAGTCATATAGTTATTGGTACATGGATAGAAACTTATTGTGTATGTAGAAAGAGGTATAAATTTCATATCAGTGACATGAATACTTATTTTGGAGTAATTAACATCATTTTACAATTTCTTGCAAAGTAACAACATAGTGCTCTACAGTACCTAAAAAGGGAAGATACAAGTAGATCTTGCATGTCAACCTACCATGCACTAAGCAAAGAAACTAAAAGAAAAAAAAAAAAAAACACTAACTCTTTCAGAATACATGAAAGGAATTTCAAAGCAACAAGAAGCTGACATAGTCTCATTTGCTACATCTTTTTGTTCTTGGCCATTGTAAAATAACTTTGATCTTATCATTATTGTTAGGTTTTATAATGGGTGGGAATTCACAAATCAGCCAGCCTGGTTTCGATCCCCTCTTGTGGATGGTGGGACTGTACCTAAAGTTCCTTTCCCTGCTCTACTGGGGCAGAACAACATCAGAAAGTCTGAAGTAGTCAAAACCAAGCCAAACATTGAACATTTGTAAGCCCAATTTCAATCATAAAATTAACCAACTCTAATAGCAAATCAGCCTTTTTTTCATCTTAGCACAAATGCTCCAGGACCACAATTTTTCTGTTATTAAAAAGAAAACTGGTCTCCTTTGGCTCTCTAAGCTTTCAAAATAATGATGCTTTATAATTCCCTGGTAATTGTATAAAGTAAGAATTTTACATTATTTCCCTGGCAATTTAGAAAATTTGAAGTTACATGAAAATATTTCTTATATAAGAGCAAATAGAGAAGAGGTTGGATCTCATATAATCATGGCCAAAAAAAGTATATTCTTCTTGGTCATATATTCTTATAAACTATTGAGGAGTGGGGAATATTGTATATGCATAAATGTATAGCCTATTCCAGTAGCCTAAGACCCCATGGGTTATTATTATGTAGGCAGAACTGAGATACTCAGATGTGTTTAGGTATAGAAGCAAGAATTCCATTCATTTGGTTAAGGAACATGAATCAGCTAGTGGGTATTAAGTTATGCACCTTCCCGACCTTCACAAAAGCACACCCTGACTTGAGTTTATACGGTTAGGGGTGTAGTCGGATATACTGGCCCAAGTCAGAAGAATGCTACATTTCCTCAAGCATTCATTTGTCTTCAAGAAACTCAGAAGCTGGATCAGTAACACCCGACCCAACTTCTGAGTCAGATAACTCTTTCCTTAGACACTTAGACAACTGTGACACACTCTGGTGGATCCCTTGTCCCTAATCTCATTCTGGGTATCTGATTTCTAGCTTTACTACAAGGATTAGCACTTTTTCTGTTAACATAAGGGGCCTCTACCCAGGGCTTGTCCAAGCTCTGGCTTACAAGACCTATAGGAACAAAGAGATCATTTCTTTTCATTACATGAGGAAATCTGATCAAATGTGAGATCCTTCAAAAGAAACTTGTGACTTCCTTTGCAAAAATATATTGGCATTTGTTGCTTAAAGTGTTTCCAAGAGTAGGATTTATTTTACACCCTAATTCATTATGAATGCATCATTTTTCATATTCTCCATACTTAAGATTAAGTGAGGAAAAAGTATAGAGTTTAGAAGTTCTGTCTTTATTTCTCCAGTCCATAGATACCTGCCAAATCTCACTGTTGCTAAAGGAATATATTATGAACTTAGGTATCAGAATTAGAAAGGTCATATTGTTCTGAAAAAATGTGCTGTGACTCTGAGATGTCCAGGTAGAATCAACAATCTACTTCCCCAGATAATTTAATCTCATTTGAAAAGTTAGATGTACGTGGTTCAGGGGAATATGCTGAAATCAAACCCTGTCTGCCTCTTTGCGTGTTTCCTTTCTTCTCAGGAAGGAGAAACAGTGATCATAGCTCATTGAAAGCTCTCCTGCTGCAGTTTAAAACTATAATACTTGTTTTTTATTCCCCCTTCAAGTTGAGAACAGCTCATCACCATTCTCTTTTCAGTGATCCTTCTCGACCATTGTTTGTAACACCATTCACAAGCTTTACTTTTCAACATGTTCCAAATCTACTTTTTTTTCAAACTTTAATTATTTGTTTACATGTCCACATTTCAGTATTTCTTTCCTGACTACCCACTGGGTAATATGTCTTTCCCACCTATCTTAGACTGCTCTCAAATCAAAATGAGGCCCATATGAAGGAAGAGTGGAAGAACATAGCTTCCTCTGTAAATAGTTATTCTCCAGATAACAATAAATGCACTAGAACTTCACTTTTTGAACCTTTAATGAGTAGTATGGAAGCGTGTTTTTAAACTACAGGCTTGAGAGCCATACTTCCAGAATATAATTCCCACATTGGCTGAGTGATTTTGGGAAATTACTTAACTTCTCTATGCCTCATTTTCCTCAACTGTAAAGTGGGCATAACAATATTCTCCTTAAGTAATTCTGAGGATTAAATGAATGCAACATATATAAAGTGTTTAGAAAAATACCTGTGCTTTTTCTCTGCCTGGCATTGCTGGACCTGGAGGTCTGTGTCAAGCTTTGGCTGAGGGTCTTTCTTCCACAGAATGGGGTTTGTTAAAGTTGTTAATAAGGCCTATTAAGAGATACCACGTGAAATTTAGGGATGAAAAGAGGGTAAAACAGATTACTGTGCTCAAAAAGGCTCAGTGATACAGGATAAAAATAAATACAACACACTCGAATACAGGGTGATAGTCTATATAACAAACAGAGATATCATTTGTCAGAATGCTTATGCCTATGTAGAAGGGGATATGGTAGTCTGCACAGCATATGCACACGGTACATGAACTGCCAAAATATGGTGTGAAGGTTGGCCTGACAAATTACGCTGCAGCACATTGTACTGGCCTGCCACTGGCTTACAGGCTTCCCGGTAGGTTTGGCATGGAAGGCCAAGTGGAGATAACCAGAGATTAATGTGATACAGAAAGCACTGAGGGTCAGCTTGGTGCCTTTACCTGCTAGTTGGATATAGGCCTTGCCAGAACCATCACTGGCAATAAAGTTTTGGGGGCCTTGAAGGGAGCTGTTGATGAAGGCTGTTCTGTCCCTCATAGTACCGGATGATTCCCTGCTTGGGATTATAAAAGCAAAGAATTTAATACAGAAGTGCATGGGAAACACATCATGGGTGAGAATAAAGCAGATTACATGCATTACCTACTGGAAGCAGATGAAGATGCTTGCAAGAAATGGTTCTCTCCATACATAAAGAACAGCATAACTTCAGAGCTGATGGAGAGGTACAAGAAAGCTGAGATTGGCTGGGCATGGTGGCTCACAGTCCCAGCATTTTGGGAGGCTAAGGTGGGTGGTTTGTGTGAGCCCAGTAGTTTCAGACCAGCCTGGACAGCATGGCAAAACCCTATTTCTAAAAAAATAAAAATAAAAAATAAATTATAAAAAGTACCCAGGTGTGGTGGTGTGTACCTGTCATTCCAGCAACAGGGGGCTGAGGTGGGAGGATCGCTTGAGCCCAGGAGGTTGAGGCTGCAGTGAGCCAAGATCGTGCCACTGCACTTCAGCCTGGGTGACAGAGTGAGACCCTGTCTCAAATAAATAAATAAGACAAAAAGCAAAAGCTCATGTTGCTATACAAGAGAATCCAAACAAGAAGCCCAAGAAAGAAGTTAAGAAGCAATAGTAAACATTATGGGTGGAACAATCCCAAAATGTCCCATGCCCAGAAGAAAGATCAGGTAGCTCAAAAGAAGGGAAGTTTCCTCAGACCTGAGGAGCAGGCTGCTGAGAAATAAAACAAACAATGTTCTGGGAAGATTTTTTAGATAAAGGCAATAAACTTACTGGCTAAGCAGGTTAAAAAAAACAATACCTGTAAAAGCAAACTATTATATTTATTATCTAAGTCCAAAATCAAAAGTTGGTTATTTTGTGATGATTCATACTGGAGGCTTATTCTAAATTCTAAATATCCTGTTTATAGCAACTTAAAATGTCAGCCCATTGTATTATAATTTTGACATTAATCAACCTGATATTTTTCTTTTATAAGGGCAAGACAAGAACATATTTACTTTCATGATTCCCTTTTTAAAAATCACCACTTCTCCCAGATTTCCTAAGCCACGTTGCTTTAGCTCTTTAAGTTGTTGGTGTGATAAGAGAAAATAATGTTTTTGTGTGATGGGCTGTAAATAGGTTGGCCAGCCATCTCAGTTTGCCTGAAACTGAGGGGTTTCTCAAGACATGGGACTGTTAACTGTTTAAACAGGGAAAGTCTTGGGCAAACCGAGATGGTTGGCTACCCTACTATAAAGGTATTATATAAGGTGGGGGTAAAAGAGGAAAGGAAGATTCAGTAGTAGTAGTAATCTCATCAAATACAAAAGGATTATTAGTGCGCCTCCACTGTTCCCTTGATTTTTGACTCATGCAATCTCTAATGAGTATCTGAAGAGTAAAACTGCACCAAACTAATCAACTCTAAATGTCAGGCATTTGGACTTCATGTGTGTTTTTATTTTTCTCTTGCTATCATCATCATCTGTGGAAAGTATTTCTTCGCCTTCATTTTATGCTGTTCTGCTTTCCTCTGACAATGTTGTACTTGTTCTTTTTCTTTTAGGTCAACTCAAATCAAAACGTACTCTTGGGATAATGCCCAGGTGATTCTGGTCGGGAACAAGTGTGACATGGAAGACGAGCGGGTCATCTCAACTGAGCGAGGCCAACATTTAGGAGAACAGCTTGGTAAGAGACAAATTAATAAGTTAAAAAGAAACAGAATTTGTTTATTATTTGTAACACTGTACGGAGTCCTAGCTAATAGGGTGAAGTTAATGAAATATTTGTCAATCCAACAGTGGAAAGCAGTATATCCTCCCTAAGTGGACAATCTATTTTCTCCCATTTCCTACGGCATCATGGGAGCTCAAGCACAATTACAGAAGCAAAAATGATACTCAGAATTTTGGTATTAATACAAGGTATTCAAATTCTTCTTCCGTGAGAAACACAAGTTATGCCTTGCCCACTATTTTTTTTTCCTCTCTCCATACTCCATATTGCATTCATTGAGCTCTTTTATTGTGTGATTATTGTTCTCAAGTTTCCATTGGAGGAGGATAATGGCACAGAATAGGTCACATCCTAGATTCTGATTCTAGTGACATCATCGATAATCCATGTTACTGTTACAACCCCCTTTGAGACTTAGTCACCCCATCTCTCAAGAAGAGTCTCATAGCCCATGCCTACTTAACCAAGTCCTTGGAGATAAGAACAAATGAGATAATAGATATGAGAGAGCTTCAGAAATGGCACAGCCATTTCAAATACAAAACATTGTATCTAAAGAGAAAAATGCTGGTGTTGAGTACAGTGGAGATTTAATACAAAGGAGGGATTGATGATTAACTGATTGATTGAGTCAAGAAATTTTTATTGGGCACTCATGCATGCTTTGCATTATGCCAGACATCATGGGGGATACAAAAAAGTGATTCACAGCTCCTAGGCTCAAGTTGTTCCCACTCCAGTGGAGACTGACGACTGGAGATACACGTAAGGAAGCAGAAATACAAGACAGCAAAAACAGGTCAATGAGGAGCTGAGCTGAAAGGCAGATGCCGACAGGAAAGCAACAGGGAGAGGGAGGCAGACACAGGGAGGAGGAAAACATGGCCGGAGGGAGATGTAGGAGTGGAGTGTGATCGGAGAAAGACAAAGAGCAGCACAGAGAGGGTCCCGGGAAGATCAGGTGTGGAAATGAACAGCAACAAGAGGAAGAGATGAGTGATGAGAGGAGATGGAGATCATTTGGTTGAAATGGCAAGATACAGTTTTAATGGTCTCTAAAGGAGTAGAATTTACAGCAACAAAGGAGATGAGGCATTATTAGTAAAGGGCACCATGAAGCATGAACACTGAGATGAGCATAAGTTGAGGGGATAGTGAGTAGGAAAGTGCGAACCTAGCATAAAGTTGCAGATGTGAGTTGTGGATTTAGGGAACAACTCCAGTCCTAGAGGTGAAGGAGTTGGTGGAATTCTTTTTTGTTGCTATTTATTTGTTCTTTTTTTTTTTTTTTTTTTTTTGGTAGACCGCTGAGAACATTGAGACATTCTTAACAAAGGAAACTTTGACTTTTAACCTTTTTGGCCAGGACCTGCAGTAAGAAATACTTTCAATTTAACATCCCAGTACATACATGAGTAGAGACAGAGAATGAAGCAAAAGTTTCACAAAACACATTTTAACTTTACGTGATGAGATTCACTCTGTTTTCTGTCTTAATCTTTCTTCTTTTTTTTTATAAATGGTGGTCCCAACCCATCTCCAGAAGCAGTATGTGTCTCAGTCTATACTTTGAAAAACACTGTTATAAAGGGGATGATTTGGGATGATCTGCTGATGTTGTGCAACATGAATCAAAAAAGCAAAGGCCCTTTCATTGGGTCACTCTTCCTCTTGATTATCTCATAACTATTTACAGTTCACTCTGAAAGCTGTGACTTCATTAAACTAAAATCTATCCCTGGATGGCCACAAGAACTCCTCTGCCAAGTATCTTCGAGCCACCCAGGAGAAAGTTACATGGCTGGTGTACGGTCTCCTGTGGCTACTTTTGAAGTTATCATCTCTGACACAGGGGCTCTTGCCACTCAATCAATTAAACAATGTCTTATAGAGAGTCCAAAAAAATTGAATTAAAATTTTTTCTTAATCCTCTTAGGACCTCAGAAAGTAGGAATGGAGAATAGTAGATCCCCAAAGAAAGAGAGGGAGGAAACCTGGGAGAGGATTGGCAGGCTGGCTTCCTGAGACAGTCTCTCAATGTCTTCTTGTGTTTTCTTAACTAGCTGGGTACATGCCAGGATGGGGAAGAAACTGCTACACAGATGTAGACTGTCTCTATGAATAAAAATGAAAACTGTTTCTTTCAATATACATATATATATCCAAGCCAAGAATTGTTTAATGCCATTGATACATAGGAGGCAGGTAACTGGCTAAATTTTTTCCCACTCTAATAAACTACTGTGATATTGAGAAGACCAGGTTGTGAAAGGGGATGTTAGGATGATGGAAATGCATCAAGAGGGTGACTTTTCTACTGCTCCATTGACTGGCATACATGCAAACCCTGTCCATTCAGTACACAGATGTAGCAAAGTTTCTGAAACTGTGAGGCAGAATGTTTTATGTTCCTGTTCAAGTTCTTCCAATAGTTTCTAATTGATTTTTTGCTCTCTATTCAATAAAACCCAGCTGTTGTCATAGCAACCAACACATGTGCATTCTTGGAGAGTCATTTACCTCGTTTAATGTGGCTTGTTCTCCTCATGGCTACACATGCTTCTACAAATGATCATGAGAGACCATTTGTATTTAAAAAAATGCTCTCGCAGTTTAAATGTGAAGATTTAAATGTCTTTGCTTTGTTGTTTAATGACTAAAGAATTTTATTCTTCAGAATACCATCACATACACACAAAGGTTCCACGTTGCTTTTTAAATGTCATTACCACATCTTGGCAGATGGCTCAAAATAACTGCTTTATCGATCTGGTTGCCATTAATTCTCTATTGTGAATTGTTTTATGTGCACAACATTTGCTCATCCTAATGAGGGTCCTTGATGGAACCAAGTTGTAAAGGAGCTCTTTAAAAATTCTTGTATGGCAGCTGTCATTCTCAATCCAGTTTAGTTTACCAAGTATTTATCAAATGTTCACAATATGCCTGCTACTGGCAATGCAATGACAAATAACCCTGCCTTTAGGAGCAAACATCATAGTGCCTGAGATAGACTACACAGACAAAGAGCATGTTTCTGGCATTCCCTTTCTCAGCCACTTTGTTTCATTTGGCCCTTTGAGCACCCCTCCTTGCTGAATGCTGCCTGGTTGGCATTTATGACATGGTGCTTTCTGTACTCCTCCCTCTCCAGATTTGCATTTAGTTTCCTTGGTAGGCTCCTCCTCCTCTTTCTGTCTCTTGCATTCTGGCTTTCTATCCTTAATCTGCCACTCCTCTCTCTGCACCCTCTCTTGAAGGGTTTTAACTCCACCTCCAGACTAATGGCTGCCAAATCATGTCCCAGGCCTGACCTCACACTGGCGCTTCAGGGCCAACATCCACCTGCCAGCTGTGCCTATTCAGTACTTCTGATTTAGAGTAGTTGTCTAAGCATCTTCAGCTGAATCGGCTGGGGTTCTTTTTCAAATGCACATTCATCAACCCAACTCAGACCTGCTTCATCAGAGTTTTTGATGTTAAAGGCTACAATCTACATCTTTAACAAATGCTTTTGTGACTTTTATATGACTAAATATCTAGAACACTGGCTTTTGTGGGAAGCGAGTGTTTGGAGAGGGTAGAGAATTGTTGCCAGAGCTAAACATTATCCTATGGCTGGTGTTATTTTCCCATGCATGTTTCAACAGTTAGTCTATATGTATGTACCTATAAAAACATATAAGAATATTTTTAAATTTTATATTAAATTTATAGTATGGTACTTATATATGCAAAATCTCATAATTTAAGTTTTAAATGTACTACTGGTATGTCAAATGAGAAAAAAATTTGGAGATACAATTAAAGATATGTTTTCTAAAATTGAAATAATTTATCTGGGAATAAGAACAAAGAAAGAAATTTATAGAGGAGAATGGATTTGTATTGCCTTGAAACTACAGGTGAAAGAATACTTCAACCATTTTTATAAGCTTTAAAACGGCAAAAGGTGCAGAAACTCCTGTTTCCCAAAAATGTAGTCAGAGAACCGGAGACTGCAGATAAACTAAAATTGCTTCTGGGGAGAAGTCATTATTAATAATTTGTAAGGAGCCAATTTTAAAGTGTTTTTAATTTGCATTAGTATTTCTTCCTAAAACAAATAACAGATAATATTCCCAATTATCTCATTCAAACAATTATAATAGCCTCTGAACATATGTATTACCAAATTCCAGATACATCCCCTGTAGCCTTCTCTCTTGTCCAGCACAGACCCCATGAGAATTTCTGAAAGTACAAAATATTCTTATATTTTGCCAATTTTCCAAGCTCTATAATTTGTCTTCCCAATTCTTTTCCCATTTAATGGCTCTTTTGATTATTAATCTGACAAAGATCATGTATCTTCCCTCTCATGGAGCTTAAAGTATGGACTGTGTCTCAGAAATACACTCAACTATGATGAATATGTAAACAGGGCTGGAAACCTCAGTACAAGTGTAACTCAAAGATGAAGGAAGGGCATGAAGTTCTATGAGTGAGTAGTTACTTTTTTTGGAAAATGAAGCCTGACAAAAAGACACATTCTATGTCTGTAAACTCTAAAACACATTGATTTGATAAATACTGGCTGAATTAAACAATTTCTTCAAGGGAATAGTCTCTTGAAGTAAAAGGAGGTAAATTTAAGATAAATGAGAAAGGATATTCTTTCACCTAACAAAGAATACACTAATGGGACCAGTTACTTCTGAAAATGGAAGGTCGTGCAGGCAGGACATACAATCACTTCCCAAAAAGTCTAGATAAATCAATGAAGGCAGATCTACCATGGCTAATGGAGGGAGTTTGCATTCCGTGGGATATTGCTGTGTCACCAAGGATAAGAGTTTGGACGTACTGACAATGCTACATCATATGCTGTGGTCCCACTTTCAGAAGCAAGATGACTGCAGTGACTGAAACATATAACCCAGTTAGAAAAGTCTACCTCCTCGGATTTTAGG